CTGAGATCGTGAATGTGAGGCAGGTGCTGGGTGTGCTGTGGAAGTGCGCTCTGACGATGACAGCGATGGTAAAATCATCTGCTCAAATTGAACCCTTTTAAGTTTCAAAAGGAAACGAAATATGCTTTATTTTATTCTTCTGTAATTGTTCTTAAAATATCAAGATCATTTTTTGCTATTGCAGCAGTTAGAGGTCCATCCGTGCTGGATATATAGGTCTCGGTCGCTAAAGAGTCCCGAATATGTAATAATGATTGTCGAAACATTCAAGCATTTAAGGGTTAAAGGAGACTCAGTCCTCTTTTTAGTTGTGATATAGGCCTAGTGTCTCAGTCTAAATTACACTCACATCAGTGAATTTGGAAGCCAAACTAATTAGAATATAATAATAATAATTATTATTATTATTATTTTATATTACAACTATTTATTTTCCTGGCCATGAAACTAATAATAAAAAAATAATTTAAAAAATGCCATTTGAAATTAGAACCAACAACTGCATTTTAATCATGATACAAACAAAGATGCTACACACATGTAGCTTTAGTAGTTTGTTTATTTAAATTTGATTGTATCATTTCAACATTTGAAGCAAAAAAAAAAGAATGATCTGACTTTAGCTTTGTGAAATTATGCTTAAACCTGCATAAAACTAAAACAGCAGACAGGCTTTTTTTTTACTCTCTGACAGTAGGTGGCACTTATGGAACAGCAGAGATAAGAGGGGAAAAAAAGCCATCGAAGGGAAAAAATGCCAAGTCAGTCCCCTTCAGAAATACATTCATATAAACCCCCACCCAATATTTAAATTTTTCTTCCAATAAACAGTGAGCTTGCTCTGCCTGTACAGTATTTTCTTTGTGCGCATCTGTTAATTTTAGTCCTTGTTTTGCAAGAGATAAAACTATTAACTTTTTTTTTTTTTGCGGAAACTGCAGTTTAGCTTTTATTTTGGCGGAAAACTCCAGCGTCTGTGAAAACAGGTTTACAAAGCGTCTTATTACAAATCTAGTGAAATACTGTAAACATTTGCCCATTAAAATGTTTAAAATTATTCTAATGTGAAAACAGAGTGTAACTGGTGCCCACTGCATTCTCAGATGCGCGCTAAACTCACAGCACATTCAAAAAGTGCATTCACTGTCAATGGAGCCGCTCTGAGATGTGAAAAACACCATTTCACGAGCTGATCACATGAACAAAGTGTGCACTTGGCTTTGACCACACTTTAGTCCAAAACCCCACTCCTAGACTAACCTTTAACACAAATAGAATAGAATACGATTGACTGATGTGATGTCTCAAATCAGCTCATTCTTCCATTACACTAGTAAAGGTTGTTACCTAACACACTTATTCACTCATAAAATAATGACCTAAAAACACTTACACAATTTTGTATAATGTTAAGTGACCTAAGTATTGAGAAATGGGCAAGCAAGCAAACAAACAAATAAATAATAATAATAAATTATTATTTATTTATAATGAATAAATAAATAAGTAAGCTTGACTGGAAGAGATCCTCAGAAGTTCTTTGTTTCCATTTGAATATAATTAAAACCATGTGAGATGCTTTTATTTTCTCTTTCATCCGTATATACAAATATTTTAATTTGTTCTATCTTTATTTATATTGTAGAAAAACATTCAGAATCATACTTGTGAGAGATGTTATCTGCCCATTGTTTTTGAAAGCCAATCTCTTATCATCTTAAAATAAAGACCCTGTTCTATGTGCAGGTATTATGCAAATGTGACAGGAGATGTAAATGAGTGTTCCCTTTCAGTCGGTCACTCTCGACGTCACGTCGGATGACCGACGAATTGGGATCTCGCTTAGAGAGACCAATCTACTTCGAGTGTAAACTAAACGAGCCAATGCACATTGGCATGCGATTATTGCATCCAGCTGCCGCTGATCACAGCGTGAGTATAAGTAGGCAGCAGATGAAGCGCATATTCAGCTTTTCGCTTCGGAGCCGAGCGATCAAATCGTTCTGCTCCTGCCTACTCTACTGAGAGAAGAAGACTGAACGAGTTCAGCGCGCTCTTGGAGAGCTCTTCATGTTGGCGGTACGGCGCTTCAGCGGTGGTGGTTTCCCGTGTCAAGTGGGTTGCACACATCAGGCTGCACTACCCCCTGTTTGTGTCGCAGATGATCATCTCCCCTGTGCGCCTCAGCACGCTAAAAGAGCTTTTTCCCCTAAAAGAGCAATTTCGGGTGCGTCTTTTTAAAGACGACGGCTACGGCGTTACTGCAGGTTCTTCAGGCTAAGGCACTGAGGGACCTGCACGAGGGTGGTCACGACCCAGAAGTTCTCAAAGAACTCCGCACCGCTACGGACCTCGCGCCACGAGCGACGAAGGTCACTGCGCGGTCTCTGGGTCGTGCGATGTCCACTATGGTGGTCCAGAAGTGCCAAAACTGGCTGTGTCTGGTCGATATGAGGGACGCCGACAAAGTTCGGTTCCTTAATGCCCCTGTGTCCCAGACCGGCCTCTTCGGCGATGCGGTCGAGAGCCTGGCCCAGCAGCTCTCGGCTGTACAGAAGCAGACTGAGGCGTCCACCCGTCCGCGGCCGCAGCACCCCAACCTGCTCATCGCCAACGGCGGCCCCCTACGTCCGCCCCCCGCTCCCGCACCTCATCCGCTCTGGCAAGCAGCGCCGTGGAGCTGGGCGTAGGCAAGGCCGCCCCACCCGTCCGGGCCCCCGTCAAATCTGGCGGTGAGCAAAAGAGCAAGAGGCCCCGGGACGGGCGACCCAGAGAGGGAGGAAGCTGCTCT